GGCGAGGGGCGAGCCGGGAAGGAAGGGCAAGGCGGGCGTGCGGGGGCCCCCCGGCCCACCGGGCCCCCCTGGCCCCGCTGGGGAGCCGGGCCGTCCGGGGCCCCCGGGTCCACCGGGGCCGGGACCAGGCGGCTACGTGCCGTCCTTCTACAGCCCCAAGATCGCCTTCTACGCGGGGCTGCGCAAGCCGCACGAGGGCTACGAGGTGCTGCGCTTTGACGATGTGGTGACCAATGTGGGCAACTACTACGAGCCGTCCAGCGGCAAGTTCACCTGCCCGCTGCCGGGCATCTACTTCTTCACCTACCACGTGCTCATGCGGGGTGGCGATGGCACCAGCATGTGGGCTGACCTCATGAAGAATGGGCAGGTAAGGCCTCACCTGGGCCCTGCCCGCATCTGTGCCCTCTTCCTGGGCCCAGGGGAGGGGGCTTGGGGTGCTCTGGAGAGGGGCAGGGGTCCCCCAATGGTCCCCTCCAGTCTTGAGGGCCCTGTGCAAGGGGGATTGATGCCCAGAGAGGCTGTCAAGGGGGTCTGGTGCACAAGCCGTTGGATTTGGAGAGGGAGATGGGGGTAAAATAAAGAGCGAAAGGAAAATCCTAGGACAAGGGCGATGCCGGAGGAAGGCATTCAGGGGCTGCAGGAACATACCTACAGCTGCTCTTGGCCAGGCCCATAGTAGTATCATTGAAAATTCGGGTTGGAAGGGACCTCGGGAGGTCACATCGAGTCCTACCCCCTGGTCCAAGCAGGGCCAGCCCCAACTACATCATCCCAGGTAGGGCTTTGTCAAGCCAGGTCTTAAACACCTCCAAGGATGGAGGTGCCACCACCTCTCTGGGTAACTTGTGTCCTCACCCCCTGGCTCGGGCTTGGACCTGGTGGGTTTTTAAATCCCAAGAGAGGGACCAGACAGTGCTGGAGACACCAGTGCAATTCTCTCCCTCCTCCCAGGCGACCCCGGGGGCAGCGTGGTTCAGGCTGCTCTTGTTCCTTTCTTTTTTTGAAAGGAAAAAAGGACAGAAAATCCAAATGAGCAGGAGCCCGGAGAAGCCGAGAGGTGTCTTGTGTTTTGAATCGAGCCCTGGGCTCGGTGGTGTGCAAATAACATTCTGTCGGGTTCCCGGCGGCTGGCGGGAGGCAGGGAGCAGAGAACTTTATTTCAGTGATTGTTAGAAGAAAAATAGGTTTTCAACCCTCCCCCCATGTAAACAGCAATAAATCACAGTTAGGATAAAACCATGTCCATGCCAATCACAGCGGCACGGAGACACTCTCGGCATGTAGCGGAACGGGCTGGTAAAGTTGAATAAGATTCAGGGCGTGCGGCAGAGAGGTTTAATTTTTCTGGCATGGAGGGACGGGAGCAGCAGACAAAGGATCCAGCCAGGCTCCTTCCCCAGGAGAAACCAAATTTCAGCCCTAAAACCTGTGGTACCTTCACTGAGCTTCCAGGAGGAGGGATGTTAAAGAAGTTGGTGTGTGCATGTATTTGTGTGCACGGGCTGGATCCTGGCACTATCCCGAGCTGTCTATGTGCATTTGGGCGTAGGCAGGTGATGCATGTAAAATCCACTTTCAAAATGCGGGTTTCTATCATCTATAACGGACAGCCGACACGTAGAGAGGATAGGATGTAGCTCGCCATGTATCCTGATAAATTGTACAACATTCGAGGCACGGACCACCGTATATTTATATGCATACTTGGTGTGTATAGATATAGGTATAAATCATCCCTGCGCTTCAATGTCTATCATAGAAATACCGTGCAGATCCTATAGACAATGGAGTAGTTCGGTGGTGGGTGTCTGTGCAAAATTAGGAGCATTTATGTCCGTTACTTTTAACGACCGGCAAGCTTACGATGCGTGGCTAGCTGGAATATGTAGGTACATGTCATGTTTAATGCTTTAGATGCAATTCTCCGTGCACATAGCACTGAATGCTATCACACACATAGACCGAAGCCACTGTGCCTGTCTATAAAGTGTGCGTGTAAATTTATATCTGATTACATATACATGCACGCACACACAAGTGCATAGTACTTTAGAGACATATGCACAGCGTTAAATAGACGTGCGTGGTAAACAGTGCAGGTCCAGAGATATTTTTTCTAAAATCTTTCCAAATTCCCTCCCAACACGGGGGGAATAAAAACCTATGTATTTTCATCCGTGGAGGCTCCGCTGTCTCTTTCTCCCTCTTTCTTGTATGCAGCCTTGGGTAAACTCCTCCTGAATCTTCCACATCCTTCCCTAGTCCCTCTCTGGAGCCCAGGTGGGGTGGGGTGCCTGGAAAGCTGAGGCATAAACCTAGATCAGCAACAACAACAACCACAAAAAAAAAAAGCACTGAAAAATATTATTCGTTTCCTGCCTTATTGAATTGATTTTCAGCTGCCCGGAGAAGCTCGGGAGGGCTGGAATTAAGCTATTCGCCGTCAGATGATCATTTTATTTTTTTAATAAGAGAATAACGAGACAGTTGATCCGAAATGTAACCGTTTAAACCCTCGTCCTGGACATTTTCCATTTATTAAAGATAAATAAGCCATTGATCTCAAACTTCCCGTGCCGCGGAGCCTTCCCCCACGGCTGCCTGAACTAATGAAAGCAGCACCTCCCGAGAAGCCGGCTGTTGTGTCTCTTGATCAAATCAATATACATATTTACATCTGATCGCCAGGAGACTTGGGGAACGCGTTGGCACAGGGATTAGCCGGCACCGAAGCCCAGAGCTGCTGTTTTATATGTCAGCGAGCTGCTTTCATGGCTATGCATGCGCCACCGGGCCAGATCCTGGCCCGGGGTCACTGGAAGCAGGGGGTTCACGCTCTCCGTGCGTGGCCGTTTGCACCCAGGCCAGGTCTCAGCCCAGAACGGGGACGTTCCGTGCCTGGGATGAGCTGGTGTGAACAGGTGCAGTGGGGAGGCAGACTAGGGAGCACTGACCCGGCGACCCACGGAGGGGCTGGCTGCTGTCCTGGAGTGGCTCCGGACTAGGCCTTGCCACTAAAACAGTCTCCCACCCCCAGGGAGCAGCAGGGCTCCCCCCCAGCCACCCCACCCCTGGGCAGGCACCCTCCACCTGCCGACTTCTCTCTGCCTCCCCTGGAGCCCCCACAAGAACCAGGAGGCTCTGGGTGGCTGCCTGTTTCGCAGGAGGATCAACTCATTGTTAGTTAGTGGCTGGAAGCCACAGGGAAGGGGCCAAAATATTAGCAGGATCCTCTGCACCCCCAGGGCTGGGGCCAACAGCACGAGGGATACGGCTGCGTTAACACCGTCCTCGCTACCACCAGCCGGAGCTGGCCTCAGGCACACTAACATCACCAGCCTAATTCTAGTGTACACACACACACGTGTGTGTGTAAAATACAGGTGTGTGTGTAATATATCTATCTATTAGATGCATACACACACATTAGCTGTACATGCATATATGTATACACATGCACACAGACAAACATTAGATGCACAGGCGCACACACACACACAGATGCACATGTATACACACATGTATGTGTGTATAATACAGGTATGTGTGTATAACATATATATTAGATGCATACACACACACACATTAGATGTGCATGCACACACACTAGATGCACACGCATATATATATATACACATACATACACACAGATTAGATGCACATGCATACACACATATACACATATATATTTGATGCACATGCATACCCATACATACAGACTTATTTTACCTATCTATACACACACACGCACATATCTATCTACACATATATATATACATATCTACCTATACACACACACACACTATCTATCTATCAGCACACATACACACACATGCACATATCTATCTACATATATATTTACATATGTATCTATTTATCCTTCTATCTATCCATCTCATCTCACACACACACACGCACTTTCTGCCGCTCTCTTTATCTACGTGTATGTGTGTTGATCCAGGATGATTTTAGCTCTGCCGGGTTTATTCCCAGCTTAGGATACCGATCGGGTTTAAAAAGCCGAGCTCTGGAATCACTAGATTGAAAGAAACCATCATAAAGTTTGGGCGGTTTTTCTCCCCCCCCTTTTTTCTAAGGGAGATTAATGGCGGCATTTTCCATTTATTGATCATTTACAATTTTCGCGCCCCCTCCCCTCCCAACCAGGCAGCATCGCCCGTTTATTAAATAATAAATATCAGGAGGTTTGGAAACTGACAGCGCACCTGGTAATATCGGTTCCCTCAATTGGTCCCCAGGGCCCTGTCTGCAGTCAATTTGTCAGTAGGATTTTTATTTTATTTTTAATACCAAAATACCCTCCTGTCAGCTGAGATCAGGGCCGAGGCGGCTCATCTCATCCCGGCCCCCTCCCCCCGCCCGGCCCTCCCCGGTCTAATAAAGGCCCTGTTTACTTTTTATTTATATAGCTTATTTTACCGGGGAATTAAAACCTTGGTGGGATTTATGTCTCATTTGTGAGGCAGGGTCCGGCGGCCGCCCGGAATGCAGGCCGCCGGGGCCGGCCGTAAATCCAGGCAGGGCCGGGGGGCTTCCCACGGGCAGGGGCTGCCAGCAGGCGGGCTGTAAAGCTGTTGTGACCTGCTGCATCCCTTGCACCGGATCGGGACCGCCGGGGACCCGCTGCCAAGCAGCTGGCGATGCAAAGCCAGCCCTGCCGTCCTCCTCGCCTGGCACCGATACCGGTGACACACCGGCCAGGCGATGTGAACAGGGTGCAGGGGTGATGGGGTCACAGCCCTGCCGCGGCCTAGATTCGGCCAGGGGTGGGAGCACAGCTCCCTGCAGCCAAGGTCCTGGCACGCGGGATGCTCGGCCGCATGTCCCCCCCGCCGGGCCTGGCGCCGTGGCTTTCACCCCACATCAGCGTCAGCTCCCGGCGTCCGAGGGCTGCCGGGCAGCGACAGCTCGAGCGCCGGAGCTTTCAAAGCGATTACGGGGCGGCCGTGAAGCGCGGCGACGGGCGGGAACCGGATACAGAGCCGGCTGCCCGGGGGCCCAGCCGGTCTCTGTCACAGGCGGGCACGCGGTGGCCCGGCCCCTCTCCTGGGGCAGGAGACAGGTGTCCATGCCGGCACTAATTGGCTGTGCAGGCAGAGAGGTCAAGGATTAAATGGGCCGTGGAGATTCAACGCTGCTCTGGCCCCGCGCGCAGCTCTCCGGGGGTCAGGGGTGCCAGCTGCAGGCACAGCTGTCCCCACGGGCCGGTCGGGAAGGACATGTCAGTCTTGGCAGCTGTCAGTCAAGCGTGATTTCCTCCCCCCCATGCATGGGTCTTGCAGCAATGAGGCAGCTGGTGGCAGCTCCTTCCTTGGGGAGGGGGCTCTGCCGGCTCTGCGCAGCCCTCCCACCCCCCTCCAACCGGGGGGTCTTGCTTCCCCGGGCAGCTGGAGCCCGGCCTTGAGACATTGCTCAGCTCCGAGACCAGCCAAGGACATCCCAGTGCTGCCAGGGCAGAGGGACGAGGGGGGAGCAGCACCAGGCCTTGCTCTGGGAGCAGACCCCAGGAGTCCGGGCACCTGCTTGTCCTTCTTGCCCCCTCCCACCCCTGGAAGCAGAGCCCGGGAGCGGTGACATCTGGGCGCCTGCCCCTGAAGAGCCCCTGCGGGACCCCGGCTCCAACTGTTTGAGGTGGGATCATCCCCCTGCACCCCCTGGCAGCAATGGGGAGTCAGGGTAGGGGTCTGGGCTCCGCTCCCCTGCCCCTACGGGAGCAGGGTGGGATCCTGAGACTCGCCGGGGCCTGGCTCAGACCCATCCCTGGAGTCCACAGGTGCTGATGATCCAGAGACCAGAAGCAGGGCCAGAATGGACCCAGGGAGGGCTGGGGCCCCCTGCAGAGCGCGCCTCCCCTCCCCGGCCCGGGGATGCTCTGAATCCTCATCTCCCACTCAGCCGACGCCGCAGGAATCGCAGTCAACTCATCAACAGGCCGCCACGGCGCTCCGGTGAGACCGCGGCACCGGCTGACGTGCTGTCACCCACGCCCACGCCAGCTGCGGCCCTGTCAGCTCGGCCGCTGGCTCCGCAGAGGACAGGGGCAGCAGGAGGTGCTCTGCCCCGGCTGCCGGGCCTGAGCCACAGCTGCCAGCGCAAACAGCCGGGTCGCGACACCTCCCGTCTGCCTCCCCGGGGCAGCTGCAGAGGACACCGGGCTTCCCTCCCACCCTGCGCCCACGGAGCACTGTTCCCGAGACGCTGTGTTCTGCCCCAGAGGCAGCTGCATTTCACCCTGCACTGTGTCACCTTGGGCTAATGTACCGTCACGTCCCACCTGAGATGGCCACGTTTCCTTCCCAGGCCCCAGCCGCAGACTCCCAGTGTCTCAGCCCCAGCCCGCCCGGAGGAGGCCCCGGACCCCACATCTGCATCTCTAGAGGCCTCTGTTGTGACAAACCCCTGATATGCGACCACTTCTGGGGTGGAACCGCAATGCTGTTCCAGCCACACGCAAGCAGGTGCGACCGGGCAGAGGCCCGCGTCTGGCTAGAGCTGCAGCTGGGGCTGTGGAGCAATGCCCCCATCTGCACAGAGACGCCGCAGGACCCACTTTCCACCCAGGAATTTAATGCATGGGACCTCACCATGCCCCTGCGCAGCTGCATGATGCAGCAGCAAGCAGGGGCCGTGGTCAGAGCTGGCTGAGCACAGGTAGGGTCCCCGGCAGAGATGGATTCCCAGCCCCAAGTCTAAATCCCCCTACGGCGACTGCAGACACTCATCCGCTGTCTGCCGTGAGCCCGGCTGGCAGGTTGATCCCTGCCGTGCTGTGACAGGCGGCTGCCGGGCGGCTCAAGCGGGAGTGCGCTCACCCTTGGCAGAGGCTGCCCACCAGGGCCTGTCTGAAGCCTGCCTGGGGCTCAGCTGCCCTGGTCCAGACTCAAGGACAGCCCTGCGTGCAGGCCTGTCCTCTCCGGAGCCCCCTCCACCCACCCCGCAGCAAAGTCAGGGCAGCTCACACCAGAGCCGAGTGATGGGCCCTGGAGGCAGTGGGGAGGGGGCTGTGCTGGGCACCCTCCCAGCCTGTTGGTCAGGCAGCCACAGCTGGGATTGGGGCCTCGTGACCACTGCACGGGGCCTCGTGACCACTGCACAGGGCCCTGGCATGGGGATCCCTTACCTGCCAAGCCAGGCCCATGTGCAAGGCAGGGTGGGGTGTGTCCCCCTCGTCAAGCCCAGCATGAGTTCTCCCCTCCCTACCCCACTGCCTGCCTCCCCTCCTCCTGTCACCTGCCCCCAGCGGGTCCTGGGTGCCGTCTGCCATGGCAGTGCTGCTCCAACACACCCTTGCCGGGTTCAGGGGATGGCTGTCAGCTCCTGTCAGCCTCTCGGGGTCACCCGTGCCCCGGGGAAAGGTGACAGCAAAGACAGCAAGCAGCTGGTGGCCCCCCGCCACCCCAATTCCCCCCCCCCTCCGCTCCTGTGCACACCTGCCTCACTCATGCGCACACACCAGTGCCACCACAACACCCAGGCACACACGCCAGCATAGCTGCAACACCTGTGTGCACATGCTAGCACGGCTGCAACACCCATTCTTACATGCCAGCGCCACCACGACACCTATGTGCACATGCCAGTGCTGCTGCTACACTCATGTGCAGACGCCAGCACTGCCGTGACACCCATGCACACATGCCAGCACTTCCATGACACCCATACACACACGCCAGTGCTGCCACGACACCCGCGTGCACACACTGCCCCCCCCGCCCCCACCCCCTAACACTGTTCCCCGGGGTGGGATGAGACTGTGCAAATTCCATCCGCAGGCGCCATTAATAATGCAGCGTCGCAGAGCCCGGGCGGAATTAAACAACAGCCCTTAATTATTTGCCGGGTTAATCAACCTGCTGGGAGAGGGGACAGCGAGGCTCCGGCAACCTCCCCCTCGCTGTGGCCCAGCCGCAGCCCAGGGCCCTGCCAGAGCCTGCTCCAGCCTTCCCAGGCCCCACGTTGATGAGTCTACCTCATTTCCTCATGAGCCAAGGTCCTGGCGAGGGGATCCTGGCAAGAGGCGCGGGGGCAGCACTGCCGCGTGGGCAGAGCACCAGTGCCTGCCTGGAGTCAGGGGAGCCTGCCGGGGCTTGCATGTGTGTCGGAGGCTGGCGTGTACGAGCTAGGACATTGTGTGTGTGTTACACGTGCAGCTGCATGTGTCTGCTGGGGGCTGGCGGGGGAGACCAGCAAGGCCCTTCAGCCCACCTGGTTGCACCCTAGGAGCCAGAGCCCCCGGCCTGGGACCCTGCCCCCCCTTCCCATTCACACCAGCTGGCGCTGGGTGAAAAAGCCCTGGTCCCTGCGGCAACGGGTCATGACCACAGCCCTCGGATTAGCGGCGGGTTTAGCATGCGCAGGCAGGCACCGGGGCACAGGGGACCCACTGCCCCACCCACTGTGTTTGGCTTTGGGGCTAGACCCATCTGCGCCTCTGCGGCTAAACGGGGCCGGAGCACGGATGGGAGACCCTGGGGGGCAGCGGGCTGAGCCCCAGCTGCTGCAGGGCGGTGCGCAGTGCAGGATGGGGGGCCAAGGGAAGTGGGGGGCACCTAGCTACAGGGGAGCTGGCACAGGGGGAGCTCTCTTTGCACCGGTGGGTCTGGGGGGGGGGGGGTGTCCCTGCAGGCTCTGCCCCTCTGCTGACACCTGCCCCGTCTCCCCAGGTGCGGGCCAGCGCTATTGCCCAGGATGCCGACCAGAACTACGACTACGCCAGCAACAGCGTCATCCTGCACTTGGATGTGGGCGACGAGGTCTTTGTCAAGCTGGACGGGGGCAAGGTGCATGGCGGCAACACCAACAAGTACAGCACCTTCTCCGGCTTCATCATCTACCCAGACTGAGCCCCCCACCCCCGCTGTGGCATGGGGTGACCCGGGATCGGGACCCCCCGGCCTAGCTGGGAAGGGGGAGCCCGCTGCTTAGGGCATGGGCAGGGGGCTTGGGGATGTGGGGGGCCGGGAGGGCGGGGCTGCTCTGGGCTCCTAGACACCCCCACCTCTGGCTGTCCCAGAGAGCAGCCCCCCAGCCCCTGGGGCAGCACTAGAGTGGGCAACGCAGTCCCTGCCCCCCCATAGTCCCCAGAGCCCCCAAGGGGGGGAATCCCCCCAGAAAGACAGAGCCTGCACCTGGCCCCCCACCCAGGTTTGGAGACCCCTGTCCATACCCCCATAAGAACGGAGGCACCCAGCTCCCCCCACCCTAGGGTCCTGCCCCCTCCACACCTCTCTCCAAGAGCCCCCCTACCTCAGCCTTATCTGCTGATACCATCTGTGTCCTGGGCTGTGGGAGGGGGCTGCAGGGCCAGGGGGTCATTGCCACGGCCACGGCCACCGCTACCCCCACCCAAGGTGTCCGTGGGTCTGCCCCACCCCAGCCACACGCCAGAAATGAGTGGAATGGCTCACACATGTGTCATGGGCCCCGTACTGCAGGCTGCGTGCAGAGAATCCCCATGCTCACCCACCTGCATAGGGCTGGGCAGCACCAGGCACAGGGTGGCAGCAGGAGAGCGAGGCACGGGGGTGCTGAGGGTGCCAGGGAGACCCCTGCTCACTGCCCATGGGGCCTGAGCCTCCTTGCGCTCCCCAGCTGCCTGAGCCGCACCTCTGCATGCACAGCGCCCCCCCGCAGGCTGGAGCCACCTCACTCCCCGTCTCCACGTACAGCTGCGCAGGTTTGCACGCGCGAGCCTGCGTGCAAGCTGGTGGGTTTGCACACATGTGTCTGCCGAGTTGTCCCCCTCCTTTTTCTCCCAACAGCTGTGCTCTCTCTCTACCCCCCAGGCCCTCCCCCCCAGCCCCCCAAGGCCCTGCGTGGTGGTGGTGGGGGAGGGGGGGTTCTCCTTGGCTCCGACTGTCAGACTCTGTGTTCGACCCGCCAATAAAGCACTCTGGTTTTGGACTCGCACCTGTCAGGGCCTCGTGTGCCCCCCGATCAATGCAACCAGCTCTGAGGTGGGGCAGGGCAGGGGGCTCCTTGTGCCCAGGGACATCTGCAGGAAGGGGCTTTCACCCCCGGGGGGGCAGAGGGAGGCTCTGGGCAGTCTTTAACACTTTCCCCACTGCAGGGCTCTGCAGTCCTGTGCTCTGCTCCCCTTCCTCCCCCAGCGCCTGCCCAGAAGATGCCAGCTCCAAGCACCTGTGGTTTTAACCCCCTCTTTGCGAGCCTGGGTGTGGGAGGGGGGGTCTGGCTTCCTGAGGCAGCCCCTTGAAGGGGGAGTAGCCTGGGGGGTGGGGAGCCGGGAGTGAAGGGCTGTGGTGGGGGCCGCTTCATGTGCTGCCCATGGGCTCCTGCACACATACATGGGTGCAGTGTGGCCAGTTGCATCAGTGCTGCATGCAGGGCATGCGTCCTGCCACGTCCTGGCCTGGGGGTGCAGCCTGCACCATGCCCGTGCACACGTGTCCATGGGGATGCTGTTGCAGGCAGGCAGTGGCTGTGCACTGGGCCCAGCCGCCCCCCTCCTGCATCCCCCTGCGTCATGGCCCCGTCGGCGCCGGCTGCCCCCTGTCAGGGTGCCGAGCGCTGACGAGAGGCGCCTGCAGCGGTAACGAGCTCCCCGCTGGCCGTGCTACGCTGCCTGTCATTAGCACGTCACTGGCAGAACCCACATGGAGACAGGGCCACAGCCCAGAGGCCATGCAGCCCCCTCCCAGGATAACGAGGGGGAGGGACTGGGCTGACACATGCACATGCACGTGCAAATGCATGCCCAGTATTGTCTCCTGTGTGGTTTCCTTGTCCTCTGGGGGACAGCCAAGCAGTGGGCATGTACACGTGTGCGTGCATGGGTATCCCTGTGCATGCATGCACACATGTGGTGGGGAAGGTATGGCTGGGAGCAAGGGGCCAACCCAGCAGCGCCTGCCCCTGCACAGGGCCTGGGTGCTGGCCAGCCGGCAGCAGCAGCAGCAGCAGTGGCAGTGACCCTGGCCACCGCCACCTCCCCACCAGCCTGGACCCAGTGGCCCAGCCTGTGGGCTGGTGCTGCCACCTGGTGGCCAGTTGCTGCTACTGCAGCCTCCCCCCTCCAGCCTTGACTTTGAGGTGCGAAGGGGCAGTGGGGAGGGGCCCTGGCCAGGACCCCCTTCTGCCAGCCCAGGGGCTCCCTCCTTCCAGCCCCTCCACAGCCCAGCAGCTGCTTTGCTCTGTCAGAGCCAGGCAGAGACTCAACCAACTCGTTGCACCCAACGCCGGCCCCACACCAGACCGGCTCTGCTGCCTGGAGGGGGATGGCAGCCCCGGGAGCGGATCCCAACCCCCACGGCTGGCGCATGGGGCTGCCAATAGGGGAGCTCAGGGCTGGCCACGGCCAGCTCCCCTGGCCCCCCCCCCGGGACTGCGCCATCATTTGTTTTCATTTCTCCCCTGCTGCCGCAACAGGTCCCTGCCATTAATCATGGTGCGGCAGCTGAAATTACAGGGCGCTGGGCTGTGCCAGTGCGGGGGCCGGGTTCCCCCGGGGGCGGCTGAGAACGGCGAGGCGCTGGGCTTGCACCCACCTCTCTCCTGCCCCAGCCCAGGAGGTAGCAAGGCCCCAAAGGAAGGAGGGGAAGGGCCCTCACAGGTCATCCAGCCCTAGCTCCAGGCAGGACCAGCCCCAACTCAACCATCCCAGCCCTGACTGGCCATGCTGCCAAGCACAGAGAGGCCACAGCATCTCTAGGGGCCTGCACCAGAGTGACAAAGTCCCTCATTTCTAGCCACAGTTTCCCCTGCTGCAGCTTGAGGCTTTGACTCCTAGTCCTATCCCCTACGGCCACAGAAAAAGACCCATCTCCATCAGCGCCCTTCACGGACTCAAACGCTGTGCTGGAAAACGAAGCCCCACACAGTACCGGAAACACACCCGGAGCAGCTGCAGATGAAGCTGTCCAGCTACCGACGTCAGCAGGACCCGTGGCCTTGCTGCTTTCATCCCCCCCTGCCATACACGCCTGGGGGACGCGCCACCTCCCCGCGTGCAACAGAAGGAAGCGTTGTCCAGGTCAGTGCCATCACCACGTCGACATGTACAAGCCTCCCTCTGCCTCACTGTCAATCACATCCCAGCCTCTTTGCGACCCGGCAACCTCCTACACAAGCGACTTGAGCAGTCGACATCGAGAGCACGGCCGCTCCATGTCCAGCAGCAAGGGGGACACTCTGTGTCTCTGGGCAAGCCTGAACGAAGGCACCCTCGTGTATACGACGTGAAGGAGCCACGTACCTGCTGCTCTGGGCGTTGGACTGTTCAGACTGACACGGAGCTCAGCTCCTGGAAAGGTGGCTTGAATACTTTGCAGCAAGGTGAAGGCTGCTATCAAAGGGGTTACAAAGAGGATGGAGCTGGGCTGTGCTCACTGGGGGCAGATGACAGAACAAGGAGCAATGGGTTCAAGCTGCAGCAAGGGAAGTTGAGGTTGGATATTAGGAGGAACTCTCTCATGAGAAGGACGGTGAAACACTGGAACAGGCTCTCCAGAGAGGTGGTGGCATCTCCATCCTTGGCCTGGCTTAGATAAAGCCTTGGCTGGGATGATATAGTTGGGGCTGGTCCTGCTTTGAGCAGGGGATTGGATTAGATGCGACCTCCCGAGGTCCTTTCAACCCTCATTTTTGATGATTCTGTACATCAGTAAGAAAAGGACTTGACAGGTTTCCTTCATCTCACCTGTCAGCCTTGACAACCTGGTTTTTCAGCCCATGCCACCCAGATCAGCTCCAAGAGGTGCCTTTGGGAAGGCAGACTGGCAGAAGCACTGCAGGCTGCCCAGTGAGAGAAGAAACTGATTAGAGGATCCATCAAAAGCCAAAGGTGATCAAGGCTACAAGACATTTATGAGCTCCCTGATTGAAACAGCCAAGATCTGCACACCTAGAAGGTGCAGGAGCCACTATGTGCCATGCTGGGATGAGCCGTGCCAACAGCTCTTGAAATGCCACGTAGCAATGCAATGACCCTGCAAGTGCAAGAAGAACGACAGAGCAGCTGGCAACCACGTTGAACAATGTCTAAATAGCTCCCTAGCATGGAAGGACTGAATGTGACCCACTCGAGTAGCCAGGCACTGTGCATCCTCCACCGCCTACAAATGACACTGCCCCGTGTCCAACTCCACCGTGAAAATACTGCAACAGCAGCAAGTACAAGACCCCACAAAGCCACATGCAGAAGTGATTAGACACCTCACGCAGGAACAGCAGACGTTCCCCACCACCAACCTTGATTTAACTGTCCCCCTCTCCGATGAGGAGTTCAGCACAGCTATAACAGCGACCGAGACTAGCAAGGTGGCTGGACTACACGAAATAGTCCCAAACTTCAGCACCAAGCTCAGAGCCACAAGGAGAAGGTGGCTTCAGAAATCCACGTCTAGAACGTAACAAACTTGCAAAAACCTGGAGAAAAGCAGGTGTCACTGCTGCCCAAAACCCAATAAACCACCAGAGGATCCAGAGCGCCTGGCCCATCTCTCTGCTCTCTCCCCAGTTTCTAAAAGAACAAAGCGGCTTTCGGAAAGAGCGGTGTACGCTGACCAAGTCACGTTACTTACCTACATAAGTAAGTAGGTCCATTGACCTGCACACCTACTTACTTAAATCGTAGCAAATGAGGGTTGGAAGGGACCTCAGGAGGTCACATTTAGTCCAGTCCCCTGCTCAAAGATCATCCCAGCCAAGGCTTTGCCTTAATAACCTCCAAGGATGGAGACTCCAGCACCTCTCTGGGTAACCTGTTCCGGTGCTTCACTACCCTCCCAGTGAGAAAGTTTGTCCTCATATCCAACCTCAACTTTCCTTACTGCAACTTGAGCCCATTGCTCCTTATTCTGTCTCTGCCACCACTGAGAACAGTTCAGCTCCATCCTCTTTGCAACCCCCCTGCAGGGAGTTGAAGGCTGCTATCAAAACTTAAGACTTAGAAAACAGATTTGAAATGAGGCAGAAAACAGACATGGTCATTAGCGACCTCACACCCACCTGTGACACGATACCGCACTGAGGCCTCAAATGTCAGTGGCGCTTTGCGATACCCAAGCGCGAGCTATGTGCTTTCCTCATGAACGTGGTCTCCAGATCGTTCAAGCCTGCAGCAGGTGTGCCCCCGTGACATCCCCTTCGTTGCTCTCCCTTCCAGCCTCGAGCCCAAGGCTTTCAACAGGCCTGGACAGCATGGGAGCTGTGCCGCAGGCTGTGGGGTGCTCACAGCCCAGCCCTCACCCGGGGCCTGTGGAAGGAGCGGGAGAAGCCCCAGCCCCAGGCAGTGCACACAAGCTGGGGGGGACCCAGGCGCCTGCAGTGACCTGGGCTCCATCGTGCCCTCTCCCTCAACCGCCAGGCCCCTCCCAGAGCTGAGAACCCCCAAGGCAGGAGCCTCAGCTGTGCTTCAGCAGCAAAGCCACCCCTCGATCCTAACAGCAGCCCCCCATATTACCTGAGGACCAGGCTGTGAGCAAACCGTGAACAAAACTTTATTGGGCTGTGGCCACGGCTTGTCTTTAAAACCCAGCTGGTGGCATCTGGAACTTGCCCAGGCCTCAGGTGCAGGAGACAGGACCTGCCCAGGGGAGCGCAAGATCCAGCTGGGGAACATCTGGCAGGGGCTGGGCACAGCTGCCGGGGGCACCCACAGCCCCTTCCTATCACAGGCCACAGGCAAGAGAGGGACCCTGCCCCCTCGGCTCACACAGCAAGACTGGAGGAGGCTGGGGCATGGTCCTCGAGTAGTCCAAGGGCTGGGCCTCCAGCCCCAATATCACCCTCAGGGGGCTGGGCCGGCTGTGGTAAGCTGACAGCTGGTGCCGAGGAGGGGGCCCTAGGGCCTGGCGGGCTGATGGACACGAAGTACTGCAGGGAGAGACGGATAGACCGAGACTCAGCAGCTGGTGCCAGCAGAGCTCCACTTGGGGCGGATCCTGGCTCCCACCCCCTGCCCTGCCCCACCAGCCCCTGGTGCCATCCCAGGCCCAGGCCCCACTTACTGCAGCATCCTTTGCCTCCAGCTGCAGGGCCACGGGGTTGGGGCAGGTGCGGGAGGGCAGGGGCCGGGTGCCGGGCGCACGGCCAGTGTAGAAGGCGCACTCATCGTCCAGGCAGGCGTCCAGGAAGCGCTGGGGCGCGCGGAGCAGGGAGTCCAGCCGCTGCTTCGCCAGAGCCAGGCGGGAGGGGCGCACGGCCAGCATCGTCCTTGCGGCTGCAGGCAGCGGGCACGGTCAGCAGCCAGACCCGGCCCCCCATTCCTACCTGCCACGGGGGGCACAAAGCAGTGCCTCTGCCCCCCTGAGCCAGGCAATCCCCAGCCCTTGGCATCTCCAAGAGGGAAGAGCCTGGGTGGGCACACGCAGCACCATACCTGGGGGGCCGGGGGTCCGCAGGGAGTGGATAGGGGGGCTGGCACAGAGCGGGCGTAACGAGGAGAAGGTCAAGGTGGTTCCTGCCCCTTGGAAGCCCCCAGTGCCACCCTGCGGCACTGCCCTGGCAGTGGGGTCTAGGCGACGGTCACCCAGCACCAGGCCGGGCACAGGGGCAGAGCAGGGGGGCACAGGCAGGCAGGAGGGGGGATAGGCAGCCAGCAGGGCATGGAGCTCGTCCAGCGGGGTGGCGCCATCCACCCCCTCCACTGCCTTCTGCAGGAGCCGCTGGATATGCTGCAAGAGGGTGGGAACGGGAGTCAGACATGGGGTGGGGGCAAGGTCACCCCACCCCAGAATAGACCTTTCCCTCCAGCTCCCCATACACCCACCCCAGCCAGCCACCCCCCCAGCTGCTACAAGGGGGCAGCCCTCCCCCACTGCCCCCTGTGCTGATGCACAGAACTGGTTTGCCCCGGGAGGGCCTACCTGCTCCTTGCTGATGCCGTGGGGGGTGCCCACCTGGGCTGGTGCTCGGCTGTGGGAGCCGCCCAGGTCGCCCTGGCTGTCTTCGTCCTCGTCCTCGAAGAGCCGCCGCACAGCAACCTTCTCCTGCAGGGAGGCGCTGTCAGGGTGTGGGGCCAGTAGCCACTGCCTGCCCCCATCTGGGAAGCAGGGGACCTAGGGGGTGCCCCGGGATGCTGCAGGTGACACCTCCTAGCCCTGGTCAGGCCCACCCCCACCCCCACCAGGCACTCACCCAGGGCTGGGCCATCTCACGGGGGTCGCTGCCTCCCACGTCAGGGCTGCAGGGCTGCAGGGGCTGCCCAGCTCCACACCTGCCTGGGGTCTGCGGAGGGGGTCCCCGTCAGCTGAAACCCCTAGTCCTGCTCCATCTCCCACCCCCCCACAGCTGAGCCTGGGAGAGCTCAGACCCTGCCCTCAGAGCAGAAGCAGCATCAGACAGAGGGTCAAAGCCCCCCGCCCACAAAATGGGGACAGGGCACCCCCATCCTCAGAACCCTCCAAACAGTCAGGAGCCACCCCCGGATGTGCACCCACCTGTTCCACGTGTAGCTGGTGCCTGTCCCCCATCTCCCTGGCACAGGCGGGGTTGGGCTGGGGAGACAGCATGGTGAGACGCGGGGAGCATGGAGCCTCTGGCCCCTGCTTGGCCTGTGGAGAGGACCCAGGCATCCGTGGGGTCTTCCCCCATCCCATTTTGGGAAGGCCCCGGGGGCATCCTTCCCACCCAGGGCAGCAAGCAAGCCATGCAGACCCTCCCCTCCCCGGTCCACCCACCCAGCCTGAGCTCCTGCTCCCTCCCAGCTGGACGCACCGTGGACTGGGGCTGCGTCACTGGCGCGTGGCTGAACGGGGAGGAGTGGACGTCGGACGTGTGGGGTACCCGGGGGAGACCTGGGGGAGAAGAAGCGTAAGAGCAGAACGCCATGGGGGCGAGAGGCATTGAGCCCACACCCAGCCTAGGCCCCGCCATCCCTACCTTCCTGGCCCATGGTGGAGAGGCAGGATAACCGAGCAGAGTGACCCCTTGTGGGGATGCCCTCATGGGTGCCAAGCAGCGAGGCCGTGCTGCCCTGGGGGGGGGAAGAAGGCAACATCAGCCCCTGGCCTCAAGAAGGGGTGGGAGCTGGCACTGCCTCCCGGCCTTGCAGCTGCGCGGGGGGCCTGGACAGCCCCCTCCCCCCAGAAGAGCAAGCAAACAGCCATGCAGACACCCCCCCCACCCTGATCCTCCTAACACACAAGCCCCTACCGCCACCTGCCATGCGCACCGTGGGCAGGGGCGTCATCGCGGGCACTCGGCCAGACGGAGAGGCATGGGTGCCAGGCGCGTCTGCACACACTGTGGACTGGAGTTTCCTTGCCAGCACCCGGCCGAAGGGAGAGGGGTGAGCGCCAGGCGTTGCCTTCTTCACCGGCACCCGGCCAAAGGGGGAGGGGGCTGCCCATGCCTCCAGACCTGGGGGAGAAGGAGCGTGAGGGCAGGTGTCCAAGTGCTGAGCCCACCCGGCCCCGGGCAGGGTCCTGCCAGCCCTACCTTCCTGTCCTGCGGCGGAGAGGCAGGACCCACGAGCAGAGTCACGCCGTGGGGGGACGCTCCCACGGGTGCTCAGCGACAAGGCCCTGCTGCCCTGGGCGGAGAAGAGATGTCAGCCCCATCTGCAAGAAGGGACCTCCCACCCCCTTGAGGATGCAGTCGCCTGCAGCCACCGCCTACACTGGGGGCCCAGCCCAGCCCCGCCGCTCCACCAGAATCCCCCGGGCCGATGCCTCTGCCCCTCCAAGCAGCAAACTGGGTTGGGGGACGACCCCAGCAGCCTGCGTGTGCCGGGGAGTGGAGCAGGAGGCTGCATGGAGGAGGCCTGTCCCGTCCCCTCCCCACCCCGAGGACCCAAGGACCTTGCATCTCAGCCCAGGGCAGGAAGGGCGTGCAGGCCTGTTTGCGCACACACGGACGGGCCTTCAGGAAGGGGAAACCGAGGCAGGACAGAGAAACCAGGAACAGAATCTCATTTCCAGCTTCTAAAGGCACCCCCCACCCGCTCAAACCACTAGACCACACTGTCCTCCCCCAGCCTCTAGGATCCCAGGCACCTCCCTGCAGCCACCAAGCCTCACCCCAGACCCCAGGCGCCGTGACCCCACGCCCGCAGGGCAGCATGGGCTCAGGGGACTTTGGCAGGGACTTACCTTTGTGTTTCCCTGGGCCAGGAGGGAGTTGCCCCTGCTGCCTCTCAGGGGGATGCGACGTGCCAGGCTGGGCTTCCCGCCCGGGCCCAGGACAGGGCTGCACAGCCTCACGTTGGAGAGGATGCCGGCCAGCGCCGCCGGGTCAGCCACGAACTCCACCACGCTGGCATCTGCCGGAGGGAGCACAATGGAGGGCTCAGGCCCCCCGCCCCTGCCAGGTCTGGAGCTGGCATCACTGGTGCGCAGCGGGGAAGCGAGAGCAATGACCCTACGTGCGGGTCCTGGGGCGGCTCCATGCACGGAGCAGGGGACCGGGGGCAGCCCCAGAAACACGGCATCAACCCCCCCGCCCGACCTGCCCACACTGGGGCCGACGGCCCCACACCCTGCTTAGCCTGGGTGGCGGCACCCGGGGTGCTAGGGTAGCATCCTGCCCCGATACCTTTGCTGGCGGCGCTGCTCTCGGGCACCTTCTTCTGCCCCCCCGCCCCCAGCTGGATCTCCTCCAGGGGGGCCCGGGGCCGGCTCCTCCTCCAGCCCGCGGGGCCAGGGCTGGGCTGCGTCCTCGGGGCCTTGCCCTGCGGGGCAGACACGGTCACGCGGGGACAGGAGCTGCCCCGCGTCTCGGCTCCCGGGCCGGGGGGCTGCTCCCCGGCACTCACCTGGCCCCCC